AGCGCCTGCCTGGCAAGTTCAAGGTTCTGACTTCCATTCCCGGTACCAAAACAAACAAACAAAACCAAACAAGCAATTGTAGTGGAAACGACTTCAGGAAATACTACGACAATAAAATGACAAAGAGTTGCCAAGATCTGGGGAAAAAAGAAAAAACAAAAATAACGGGACAGGGGCTGGGGATTTAGCTCAGCGGCACAGTGCCTGCCTGGCAAGCGCGAGGTCGTGAGTTTGATTCCCGGTACTGGAAAAAAAAAACAAAAAAAAAAAAAAGAGAGAGAGAGAGGAGAGAGAACAATTTTTTTTTTCAGTACTGGAGATGAAAACCAGGGCCACTGCTTTTCCACTAACCTACAGCCCCAGCCTTTTTGTTTCATATTTATGGCAGAGCTTAAATTATCCAGGGTGGTCTAACTTGTAATCTTCCTGCCTCAGCCTCCCAAGTAGCTAGGGAATACTACCATGCCCAGTTTGGTTTTTGTTTTGCAGTGATGGGGGTGGAACTGAATGAAGCCTTACTCATGCCAGGCAAGTGCCACGAATGACTTTCATTGGATATGCCAGTGTATGTATCCACTGCTTGCGCCCCAGCAAACATTGCAAAATGAGGACTGCCACCATGGAGATGACAACGACCAAGAACAATGCAGATAAAGGCAAAAGTCAACACCACGGGAATGGGATGTGCCCAAAGCAGACATACAGAGAGAGAAGGCTGGTGAGAAAGAGGGCAGCCCAGGGAAGGAACCCAGCCAGGGACAGGCTGAGCTGACAACAAAGATGTCACCGAAGGGGTCAGCTGAAGGAAACTCATGCCACAGGAGAGATGTTTGGGGTTTTTGTTTGGTTGGGTTTTTTTGTTTTGATTTTATTTTCCTTTTTAAAAATTCAGAGCTGCTGGAAGTGGTGGTGCACGCCTGTCATCCCAGCACTCGGGAGGCTGAGGCAGGAGGATTGCCACAGATTCAAGACCAGCCTGGGCTACAAAATGAGCTCAAGGCCAGCTTGAACTACATAGTGAGATCCTGTCTTAAAAAGACAAAAACAGGGGCTGGGGATTTAGCTCAGCGGCAAAGCGCCTGCCTGGCAAGCGCAAGCTCGTGAGTTCGGTTCCTAGTACCGGAGAAAAACCAAGAAAAAAAAAAAAAGAAAAAGAAAAAGACAAAAACAACAACAAAAAAAGACAAAAAAATTAAAAACCAGAGCTGAGTGCAGTGATGCACACCTATAATCCCAGCTACATGTGAGGCTGAGGCCAGAAGTCTGAGCCCAGCCTGGACAATTCAGTGAGACCTTATCTCAAAAAATCAAATAAGCAGGGATGCAGAGACGCAGTTCTGTGATAAAACACTTGCCTAGCACACACGAGGCCCTGGGTTCAACCCCCAGCACCATGCACACCTGCACGTGCATGTAACTTCTCATTGCATTCTGAGCCCCATTCCTGCATGCGTGCGGCCTCCTGGCTGATGCTAATCAGTTGGGTTAGCCAAAGTGAGATTGTTCGTGTGTGCTCAACGTGCCATGTTGGTATTAACCGTAGTGACAGGTCCCGAGAACGAGGCGCTTGCGGATGAATAAAGGAAAGTAGAAGAGAAACAAGAGAGCTAGAAGTCGGGGATCAGGGGGCTTGTAGCCTCTGGGACTGCAGCCCCGATCACTCATCTCAATCGCCTTTTATTCAAACCCCGCATGTAACTCAGACCAACAGGAGAAATTCATTATCCCTTTCCATGTCTGCCTCTCAGCTGATGGTAACCATCCTCGGCCGAGCCTCCCACACTCCGCACCACGTGCACTCAGCACGGCTGGGGATCATAAGCCGACCATCAGTAATCGGTTCCTTAGCAATCACAGTCCTTCCCCCACAGTGCCAGACCTTGAAATCCCAAAAAAGGTAAGAACTGGCCGAAGATTTAGTCTGGGTAGATCCAGACAAAACCAAATAGGAGACATTACAGAAACCTTGAGCTGTGAGATAACGAAAAAAAAAAATGGGAGGAGAAAATGATCCCCAGGCCCCTTCCACCTCCGCGGTTCAGGAAGCAACTGGATTTTCCCGGATAAACATTAGTAGCATCCACTTCACACGGCCACTGTGAGGATTATGGGAGATGAGGAACATAAAGGTGCCTGGCACAGAATAGATTTTCAGTCTACGGAAATAAGAACCTACCAAGTAGCCTAAGAAATCCCAGTCCAATCTGCCAAAAAAATACCAGCCTCGGCCACTAGAGGGGAATCTCAGTCACACGCCTTTATTTATTGAGGCTGGCAGGCTGCCCCCCTCTTGACACACCAGCTTTTCCCATGCTGGGAAACAGTCCCACTCAGGAAGCCTCCGAGATGAGCTCCGTGGTGTTTTCTCTGAGTTACTATATTCTCCCGCAGTTCCAAAGTGATCTGGCAGAAGTCCCGTGAGGGTTTTATCACTGCTTTCTGAGTAACATCTAAACTTCGTGCCTCCCTCAGTCCGGCCCAGCCTGAGATTCCAGAATCCTCCTTTCACAGCTACACAGGACAAGTCACGGGCCTCCTCTATGACGGCGTACACTGCTTTTTGCCCCTGACATCCTTTCTCCCGACCTTTTGGAACCTTACTTATTTTTCAATGGTTCAAGGATTGCTCCTCCATTATTTTTCCAGAAAGAATGATCTTGCTCACTGCTGAACTCACCATGTATTTATCACATTCATCTATCTAGCATTAAATTGATTTATGTACGTGTATGTGCATTTTAATAGATTAGAAACATTAGTGGACAGCCCAGTAGGAAACTTGTCCAGCATCCCATAGCAAGACGTGGCAAAGTCACAAAGATGGAATTTAACTCGGGCAATCTGGCCCCAATGAGGTCTTGCTCTTAACCACAAATCCACACCAGCACTATGTATTAGTTTTTCAAATGAATAACTAAAGTCACTGATCTGGGCGGGGAATATAGCTCAGTGGCATAAGCACCTGCCTGGCAAGCACAAGGTCCTGAGCTTGATCCCCGGTACCAAAAAAATAAAAATAAAAAATAAAGTCACTGATCTAATTAGTAGCTCTTAAACCTTCAGTGACTATGGGCTACTGGGAATCAACAAATCAATCTCATTAAACTGAGCTACAGTGCCTGGCCATGGATCTAATTATGAGCAATTTCAGAATCATAATTACTGTTCCATTTTGTCCTGTGATCTGTAATGCAAAAAGCATCCACTCCCAGCTTCTCTGGGAGAAAAAACAATGTGATTACTTACCGAAGCTGAGAAGCTACATTTGTGAAACCTCCCTCTCATGAACCAGGTGGTCCCTGAGGGCCCCATCCTCTGTGCCAAGAGTCAGTGATTCCAAGACATCTCGGAGTTAGTGCATTCATCTCCATGTCAGAAGGTATAATATTGAGTCTCAGCTCTGTGACTGTCACAGGGACCCTTTACTCAAGTTAGTTAACCCAACTCTGATTCTCCATCTGCTAAACTTCATTTATTCAAAAAAAAATTTTTGAAAAGCTGGGCGTAGTGGTGCATGCCTGTAATCCCAGCACTTGGGAGGCTGAGGCAGGAGGATCCTTGCAAGCTCAAGGCCATCCCGTGCTACAAAGTGAGCTCAGGCCCAGCCTGAACTACAGTGAGACCCTGTCTCAAAAACAAGAAAAAAATTTTTTTGAGCTGGGTATGGTGTTGCACGCCTGTAATCCCAGGAACCTGGAAGGATGAGGAAGGAAGATCACAAGTTTGAGTCCAGCCTGGGCAAATTAGCAACTTAACAAGACCCTGTCTCAAAAAAATTCAAAGACCTGGGGAGATAGCTCACTGTGAGGGGTCCGAGTTTAAGCTCCAGTACTGCAGTATTTTCTAAATGCCTGAGTGCCAGGCACTGGGTTTATAATAATTTTTTGGGGGGGGGGGGTACCTGGAATTGAACTCAGGACCTTGTGCTTGCCAGGCAGGCGCTTATGCCACTGAGCTGCATCTCCAGCCCCTGGGTTTACAGTAATAAAGAAGACAGGACCCCTGGTCATCCAGCTACAAAAATCAGATGAGACTTACATTGTGAGACTGCCCTAAGGTAGAGTCAAAGCCCATTATCTTAACAGGATTCCAGTTTTGCCAAATCCAGGGACAACACAAATGTTACCTCTTTCGCTGTTTATTTGCAAAGGCTGTTGGTGTACTTTAATTAAATCCAGTCAGATTTTCTTGCAGCTTTCACGCCTTCCCCCTGCTTGCCTTGTAAGGCAGGGGATCTGTCCTCTGCGCAGTGAGGCAGAGGACCTGCACGGGGCAGGTGCTGGCAGACTGAAGTCCCCTAATGCTTTCCTACAGGCGTCTGTTGCAGACCCTCGGCCAGGAGTGCGAATCCCGGGGTCGCCAGCTCTCAACTGTGTTGGTGACTTTTTAAGTGGTCCGCTACTCATCCGTCAGTACTGACAGGCAGGTCTCCCCGGGCAGCTGCGAAACGGGCCCGGGATGGCTCAGGGAGGTAAGCTGCAGAAGGCTGCCAAGCGCCCCCGTGAGGGTTCATCCCGGGACCCCTGGGCCACCAGCCCCCAGGCTGCAGGCCTCACAGCCGAGGGGCCAGCCCCGGCCCTGCCCCCGGCCCCAGTCCCCGGTCCAGCCCCAGCACTCGCGCGCTGGATGCCGAGCGAGTCTCCAGCCGCTTCGCCCTCCAGGGGAGGGCGTGACGGTCTCCCTGAGCGCCCGCCCAGCCTCTGATGGACCCGGGCCAGGGCGGCCCAGAACCCGGCAGCACGCCGGGCGGCCGGGCGCGCGCGCGCGGGGGT